AAAAAAAAAAAAAAAAAAAAGATTTCTGGGACCAGGATTGGCCAGGGCCTGGGCGTGGACGCCCACTTGGAGTGGAAGTTGATGGAGAACAGTGAGACAGAATCAGGACATAGGGCAATGGTCCAGAGTGGATTCCTAAAAGAGATATGAGGTCATCCACACACTCAGCTACTGACTGTTCAGCCCCATCTTCTTATACCAGGCACTGTGCTCATACAGAAGATTTAAGCAAATTGGGTAGAGGCATAATGGTGGAGAAAGGTTTTTCAAAGAAATCCTAGCCTGTAACTATTAAATTCTGAAAGTCAAAGAGGACAGATTATAGACACACCATTCTCAACCCAAGACTGGCCACCATGCTGGAGGGATTTCCATTCTGGGTGAAGGTGGTCATGCCTGAGTTGTCCACCTGAACTCATGAGGAGCACCAACCCCATCCCCAAACCTACAAGCAGGCTCTCCCCTCCCAGATCCCTGAAAGCACTACAGAGCTCACAGGTACAGAGGCGATGCCCTGTGTTCTCCCTTCCTCAGCCAGTGCTTATCTTCCCAGCCTAGACAACCCTGGATGAGCGGTCCTCCTGCTTCTTCATCTCCTATCAAAAGCTCTTTCACTATTTCCTGGAGTTTTTGTGATGTGTCTCACAGCAGCTCCATTTCTCCCATTGTACCAGACACTTCTTGAGAGCACATATTCAGTGTGAGAACAGAAGGGAATCCATTACCATCCTAGCCTCAGTTTCCCTTCCTGAGCAATGAGATTCGTCTTCTTCTGGTTTTCTTGAACAATGCAAGCCTGTCATCTGCATGTGCATGGCCCTGAGACAGTGTCAAAAAGCTTTAATGAAAGGGTGGAAAGAAGGAACCCTTGGGTTTGGAGGTGACAGTACCATAAAACCTAACCCATGATTCTCAGGGACCCTCCAGTGGGCCAGACTTAATATTCTGGGTTTGTCTGCAACTGCTTGCTGTCAGGCAAGCCCGGTGATGCTGCGAGTTTCCAGGTGTTTCTGGCTGAGCTGTTGGTGGGCTTGCAGTTCTCAGAAGTGTGGGACAGGATGCAGGCGAGGAGGAGGGACCGGGATGGCATATTCCCGCGTGGACATTGTGCACACCAGTGGCCTGGGGTAGGACGATGTATAAATGCTTTCTCTCGGGCCAGGCTTGGATGTGAGCCACTTCTGCTTCAGCTGTTCATAGAGCCCATAGTTTGTAGGGGGAGCTGCAAGAAGAAACACTTTTGGGTATCGTGGAGTTTTGAAGAATCTTGTACAGATGGGGCATGAGAACAGGTGGTGGGGCCCTGCAGGATTCCCCAGGCTGCTCTAACGGAGCATAGGCTGGCAGGACCCACAAGAGGTTCACAAATAACCCACCTCACTCCCTATTTAGGAAAACCAGTAGGTTTCCTTTCTGCATCCCCTGTCTCTGAAATGATCTTATTTACTCAGTCTTAAGCCATGTTATTTGGGAATGTTGTCATCTGCCTCTCCACTCGAATGTCAACTCAGAAGCCAGGATTTCTCCGTGCTTGACACCACCTCTTCCCCAGGTCCCACACCAAGGAAGGACGCCTGAGAGCTGCCCAGTCTCTGTCCATCCAGCCAATGTGGGGAGGCTGCCATCTGCCACCTGTGCTCCAGGTGAGTGTACCTGGTCTAGGGGAGGGGTCACTGCAATATCCTGCCTGGGGTCGAGGGGAGAGGCAGATGGTGTCCCCGCGTAGAAACAAGACTCATTCACTCCCTTATAATCTCCTTCCACAGCTCTCCCGGAGGCACACTGTCCCTCGTGTTGGTTCTTCCACACGAGGTGGGCTCACCTCGGCCTTATGCATTGACAAGGCCCCCTTACAAACCAACAAGGGAGATCCTGAAGCACAAAAGTACCAAGAAGGGGGAAGTCAGACTTCTCTGGCAGCCACAGCAATTTCTGTCTACTCCAGGTGCGGAGGGCGGGCAAGTCCGGGTTATAATTGTGCCGGTTGTAATGGTCGTCATAGGTGCTGATCAGATAGCGATGCGCGGGCTCCTGGTGGTGGGTGATGAGGTGTTTGTATGGGAGGCCCTAGAAGGACAGACACAGAGAGAGATGATGGGACATGGGGCGGGGGTGCTGATGGCAGGAGGCCTCCTTCCCATACCAGGAAACCCCAGGGCTGTCGTCCCAATAGAGAGGAGGCCCTCGCTAGATTAGGGGGTGGTTAGGGTGTGATTCAGGGGTGGCTGCAGGTGAAAGGCACGATGGAAGAAAGTCAGAGGCTGGCAGCTCTTCGCAGGGCCCCCAGAAGGGAGGCGTAAGTGTTTGTATCCCTCGGAAGCAGGCCACCTCCAAACTCAAGCCCCAGCCAGCTGCTGCCACTTCTCTGTACGTCCAGTCCCCAGCCTAGGCCAGACTTTTGCTTTATGTTTTTCATCCCCAGAATATGCTATGGCGACAAATTGGAATAAAAGGACATTTGGCTGAACAGGAGAGGCAGAGGCACTCACAGGGCTAACGATTTGTGAGCCTCAGTGACACCCCTGGATTTGCCTCCAGTCTCATCCACCCAAGCACCTTTTGCCAAAGCAAGTGAAAGACACTGAACACCAGCCTGGCATCCGTGCTTTATACGTCAGTCAGTGACCGTGGGAGGAACCAGAGAACGCTTCACAGGTTCCCTTCTGTTGTGCAGAACGTATAGCTCCCTCTGCTGGAAAGCAAGGGAGCAAGTTCTTTGGTGAGCAGTTATTTATGCGGGGAAGAAAGCCTAGGGGTATTTGTCCTTTTCCTAAGGAAATCTTCTTGGCCTGGAAGGGAATCCCAGGGAAGCAGGCTGATTTCCAGAGGAGGGCAGCGTGCATTTCCACTGCTGTCCTCTTGTCTGGACCAGACCGGGGAGGGGGTGTCTGTGTCTGCCAGGGTCTGGTACACACTGCCTGCTGACTGCAAGGGGCAGGTATGTGAACAACTCAGATGGCAATGACAGGGGGGAGATACCAGGGAAAGTCACAGACGTAAAACAGCCCCACCCCACCCCCAGCCTACATCGCTAGGTGTCCCAATGTTAGGAAAGTGAGTGGCAGAGTTTCCAACCAGCAGAGGGAAGCCCCTTGCCTGGGGGCATCAGAGCAAGGAAAGAAGAGAAGGCAGGAGGGATCTTCCTGATGTTTCTTGTTCTGGTTGTGGCTCTGATGTCCTGATTGTGTGACTGGGGTGTTTGCTATAATCATGTGTGATAAAGTGGCAGACAGGGAGACCAGCACCCTGGAGAGAAATGTCTCACTTCCGGTTTTCCAGGAGAGGGTCACACAGGATGCCCAGGGGCCACAGGGTGCAGCACAGGCTAATCAGGAGTTGGCAGGTGGGGCCCAGAACCTTCGCTGCAGTTAACATGCAGAGGAATAGGCCAGGACAGGGCAGGCAAATTTGAACAAGTTTATAGTTGCAGGGTTTGGATAATTTCAGAGGGCTCCAGGGTGTAGAGTCTCTAGCTATCCAGTAACAAGGTGATTTAGAAGACAGGAAACAGTGGCCTATTGAGAGCCTTAGATAAAGAAGTATTTAGGGTATGGATTTAGGGATCATTGGTTTGCATACGAATGGTGCACTCACTCAGAAGCAAGTTGTTGACTATCCCTAGGAATTACCTAACAGTGAGACAGATCAGCAAGGTCCCTGAGACATCAAAGCTTCATAGAATTTAGAAAATTAAAAATAAAGTTAAAGCTGGATGTGGCAGCACAAGCCTGTAATTCCAGGACTGGGGAAGGCTGAGGCAGGAGGATCACAAGTTCTAGTTCCACATGGGCAACGTAATGAGATCCTGTCTCAAAATAAAAAATGAAAAGGTCTGTCACTGTAGCTCGTCACAAGGGCCCCATCCACAAACTGAAAACCCAAACAAGTACATGGATAAATAAAATGAAATAAAAATATGATTGGGACACCTGCCCAAAGGAACACTTCCTGAAGAGAAGGCTCCCCTCAGGGTAATGACAACCCTGCTATCCAAGGGCAATTTGGAGAACAGACACAGCATCCGCCTAAGAATGGAGAAGAGTGATGGAGAAGGAAGTTGTTCTAGGAGGAGTCAGGAGGAAGAAGAGCTGATGGAGTTGAAGCAACCACATGGGGGCGGCGAAAAGCTAGCACCTGGCACAGAACAGGCAGTTGGACCAGAATCCTCAGGAAGGAGTACCCATTGTTCAGTTCTACTTCCTTGCGTTAGAAGTGGAGGCTTTTTAATTTCAATCAGACTATGTTAAACTCTGTCTTGGGGTATGTAATAGGTCCAAAGATGTTTAAGAAAAGCTACTTCGTGCTCTAAGGTATGAGAACAAAGCTATAGCACCGCACGCAGATGTGTCTTTGTGGTTCAGCTATGACTGTGCATTCCAGGGACCCAGCGCAGAGCCTAGAGCCTGACCCTGTTAGTGTTGACATGGCTCCCTGAATGCAAGGACAGTCCTTCCTGGCATCTGAGACATGCCTTGCCTTATTTGGAGGCACAGCCTACTTCTTTCCTTACCAATAAGCCATAAATCTTTGGAAGAAATATTCATCCCCTCTGGGTACTTAGCTAAATACCTCCTTGGGTGCTTTCCATCTGTAAAATGCTGAGATTCTGACAGGTCCCTACCAATTCACCAGGTGCAGCTCTGCCACTATGCTGAGATTCAGTGAGTGTTGCGTCAGTAGAGCAGAGAAGGGGGACAGAGGTGCCTCTGAGAGCAACAGGCTGGTGAAAGAAGCCTCTCAGGGTTCTCTGGAGTGTGATGGATTGGAGCACAACTGTGCCCAGTAGGTGGGCATCCTTAAGCTCACTCTCCTGGGGCACATCTGGCCGGAGGCCAAGAGGAGGAGGAATGCCACCTGCTGTTCCTGGAAATATCACCTGGTTGGGTCTGGGCACCTTTGAGGCTGGAACAAGAATTTAACCCATCCTTTTTGTAGAATAAGTTTACATGTTCACTGACTCTTCCCAGCAAATGAATTTTCAGGATGTATCAGTATAAGAGACAGGAGAAGGATTTATTAGAGATATAGGAAACACTCAACAGCTGAGGGCAGCTGCTCAGAGAAGTGAGAGACATGTGAACCAGAGTTGGGCACATTTAAAAAGGTGTCTTCCAGATGAGTGACCCAGTATTATAGATAGATGAGCGAGGTAGAAATGCAGGCAGTCAGAGCCAGGTCCACAAGAGGATTAGGACAAAGGTGAAACACAGCACAGCAGTGTCTGAATACACATGGGCTGGAAACCAGACCTCAAGATAAAGACAAGATGAGCAGACCTGGCTAATTCCTCAAAGAAGTAACACTGGGCCTAATGAGATCTAGATAAACATTGGCCACCCAGGTGGGCTACCAGAGACCTCTGGACCCACCATTTCCTGGGAGAACCTTTGTTCTTTCTGTAGAGACCAAACTGACTCAGTTTTGAAAAAATGACTCCATTTTGTGGTCAGGCGACCACCCAGTTACTGAAAAAGCCTCAGAGTGCCCTTCTGACCCAGTTCACAGAAAAACCCAAGACAGTTCTCGTAAACTATAACCAGGTGTCCTTGTGAACCAGAGTTGGGCACATTTAAAAAGGTGTCTTCCAGATGAGTGACCCAGTATTATAGATAGATGAGCGAGGTAGAAATGCAGGCAGTCAGAGCCAGGTCCACAAGAGGATTAGGACAAAGGTGAAACACAGCACAGCAGTGTCTGAATACACATGGGCTGGAAACCAGACCTCAAGATAAAGACAAGATGAGCAGACCTGGCTAATTCCTCAAAGAAGTAACACTGGGCCTAATGAGATCTAGATAAACATTGGCCACCCAGGTGGGCTACCAGAGACCTCTGGACCCACCATTTCCTGGGAGAACCTTTGTTCTTTCTGTAGAGACCAAACTGACTCAGTTTTGAAAAAATGACTCCATTTTGTGGTCAGGCGACCACCCAGTTACTGAAAAAGCCTCAGAGTGCCCTTCTGACCCAGTTCACAGAAAAACCCAAGACAGTTCTCGTAAACTATAACCAGGTGTCCTTCTCTGTTAATCTTGCAGGAACTTGTGGTTGGGGCAGGGAGGGACATCTGGCCCTGGCCAATAGAATAGAAACACATCTGCCTTTACCCAATGTTAACCAATCAGACATTGACCTGTCTAGAAAGTCCCTAGTTCTGCTTCCTTTGCTGATAAAAAGCCTGTTTGAAATCCAGTTCAGGGCTCTCGGTATGGAACCGCTGCATCTGTTAATCTTGCAGGAACTTGTGGTTGGGGCAGGGAGGGACATCTGGCCCTGGCCAATAGAATAGAAACACATCTGCCTTTACCCAATGTTAACCAATCAGACATTGACCTGTCTAGAAAGTCCCTAGTTCTGCTTCCTTTGCTGATAAAAAGCCTGTTTGAAATCCAGTTCAGGGCTCTCGGTATGGAACCGCTGCATTGGTGAGGTCCGGGAGTCCAGGCTCGAGCTTGCAATAAACCCCTCATGTGATTACATCAGACCCCACTCCTTGGTGATCTTTGGGATATCATGATCTGGGCACAACACTTTCCAGCCACGCTTGCTACGTGACCCGTGTCCCAATTGGATCACATTACCTACGTGACTGTACTGTAACCTTATGGCATGATCACGGCTGGGGCCCGCATTGTACCCACACAGGTTTCACCCTATAAAACGCCTCTGTTTAAAGTAGGGTCCCTGAGCTACCCACTTAGGCCCCCTTCTGCCCCTCAGGAGCTTTCCTATCAGTAAATATCTTCCGAATCTTAATCTCCATTGTTCCTGGGACTCATTCTTCAAATTCTGGAGAACCTTGCATTTTCTTGGGGGTGGGCAGTGGAGAGGGTGATTCGCCTGGCTTCTGTGTTTCTGGCTTCCTCTGTGCTTTGTCTACCAGCTCTTTCTCAGGTAAATTCATAGGTTAATTGCTCTACCCAGTGCCTTTCCAGGACTGGTTTCTCTCTCTCTTTTTCTACCTTTGTCCTTTTAATCATGTGAATCTAACTGCACAGGCAAAAGTCACTTGTAGTAAGATTTTCTATGAATGTCTTTAATAAAGCCTAAGGAGGCCTTTATTCTGTTCTTTCACTAACTATCAACCCCTTTGCTATACAGGGCTGTTAACAGCCTCAGATTAAACACCACCTACTCACACAGGTGGTGATAGGGTAATACCACCGGAAGCCCTGTTGGGAGGGTGTTCAGGAAACCGCTCCTGTTTGCCCAGAAGGTACTGATCCTGCAAGAATTTGGCTTATGTCTCATGGACTCTGAGGGGAGCCCATGAGTCTTACATACCTCGACTCTCCTCTTCCCATACCACCTGGAAATCTGGTCTGGCCTGTGGCCTGGAAAGGGGACATACTCCTTTCTGTGAATGCTCTGAGGGACCTTCTCAGTATCTCTGGTGAACTGAAAAAGACAAAATATTCAGGAGAACCTCTGAGATGCCACTTTTCTCCACCTTCCGCTCTGTCTGACCCTCACTTTCTGGGTCATCAAAAGATTGGCAGACAAAGAGTGAATAGAAACCGGGTATCCTGCAGGACTGAGGAAAGAAAGGCTCCGGGGCTGGTAGCCAACCGTCTGCGTCCTGAGAAGCTGCTTCTGACTCTCTGGCCACCTTCTCATTGCCCTTGCCTGCTTCCTTTCTCACCTTCTTACCTGTCTCTTCCTTTACCTTTTCTTCATTGTTCTTCACTCTTCCCAACTCCACACACTCTATCTCTTTTTTCACTACATCATGTTTTCTAAAAATTTAACATGGTGTAATGTTGAATGTTTACAGCCTTTAATCAAGATCAGGGACAGTTCAGAGCATTACGTTTATCCACGTTGTTCAACCATCCCCCTTACCCATCTACTCCATTTTCTCATCCAAATTTCGGAACTTCTGTCCCCCTATCGCACTTGAGAAAAATGTACATTCTACTATTGGCAGGTGGAGGGGTCGTCCATGCACATCCATCCATGAGCTCCAAATGGTCCACCGTGTTGTCCAAGTGTCCTACTTTTATACCGGCCTTCTATTTGGCTGTTCTACCTGATATTAAAAAATATTACTATTATTGTTCAGGTATCTATTTTTCCCTTTGATTTTGCACATTTTTTCTTCAGATAACTTGAAGCTCTGATATCCTATGGCTGTGGGTTGCTAACATCTTTTCATTTGCACTTAAAGATGCCACTTTGTCTATCTTGTAAAGCAAGTCTGCTTGTGATGAATTCCTTCAACCTTCATTTATCTGGCAATGTCATAATTTCTTCCTCATTTAGAACAGTTTTGTGGGATCTAGAATTCCTAGTTGACAATTTTTTTCCTAGTATTTAAAAATCTATCATCCCATTAACTTCCAGCTCCCAAATTTTCTGCTCAAAATATACTGATAATCCTATTGCAGATTCATTTTATGTGACGGGCTACTTTTCTCTGTGTGCTTTGAGGATTCTCTGGTTTCCAGTGGTTTGATTATAATGTGTGTCAAGGTGCATTTCTTTACATGTATCCTACTTAGAGTTTGCTTGCTGTCTTTGATTTATACAGCTACTTAAATATGGGAAGTTTTCAGCCATTATATTGTCACACAGTCCCTTTGCCCCTTTAGCTCTCTTCTCCCCCTGGAATTCTTTTAATGTATTTGATGGTGACCCACAAGTTCCTTAAGCTTTGTTCACTGTTTTTCATTTGCTGATTCTTTATTCTGCCTTTGCCAATTTTCTGTTGAACTCCTCTGTTGCATTTTTTAGTTCAATGTTATATTTCTCAGTCTTAAAGTGTCATTGATCTCTTTTTCTTGTATTCTCACTTTGTTCAAATATTATTTTCTTGTTTCACTTTAGCCTTTTGAATGTGCTTCCCTTCATTTTTATGCAAACTGAAGACAGTTGTCTTAAAGCTTTTTCTCTAGCAATTTCATGTTTGTGATATGAGAGAGAGAGAGAGTTTCTATATTGTATTCCCTTGGCTGAACCATGGTTTCCTGTTTCTTTATATGCCTGCTAAATTTTCTGAGGTTGAAAGTTAAGCATTTGGAGGGAGGGAATCCACCAACTCTCCCAGTCTCTGTACAGTGGATCTGTGCAAGGAAAGATCTTTTCTAGTGAGCAGGTCATGTTCTAAGTCTAAGTAAGAGTCAACCCATCATGACCATTAAAAATATTCTCAGGCCTTACTTCTTGCCTAAGGATGTGTGCTTTTCCAGGTTTCCCTTACACATGTCTCCTTTCAATTGTCTTAATATTTCACAAGTCTTACCGCTGCTTCTTTTTGTGGGCCTCAGTGTTTCTATATCCGACCATCTTTAATCTTTTACCCCAGACATTTATAGATCTGTAGTCCCCTGTTGCCTTTCACTAGCTGTGCCTGCCCCTGCTGTCCATGACTCTTCCTACCCTGGTATCTGAGCCCTGCCACATTTATCCCATCTGAGCTCCAGGGTGGGAGAATTAGAGACCATCTTCTTAGGCAGCCCAGAGAGGTTAGAACTGCCCCTTCTCCTTTGGCTTTAAGGGAAGGGACTAGGACCCGGCCTGCCACATTCCTCACATTGAAGACTCTGCTATGCTTTGCTGAGGAGGGGATGAGGATGGCACAAATAATCCCTCCCTCGAAATTTCTGTCATTTTGAATGTGGCCTTAGCTTTATTGAACAATCAATTGGTTGCCACAGACTTTGGACTGTTTTCAAAACTCCTGTAACATTTTAGCCATTTAAAAAATGTGCCCATAGGGAAATAGGTCAAAAACTTCTTAGCCCGTCATCATTTTAACATCACTCCACTTCTATTCCACATGCAATCTTCTCTTTGGATAAGACCAGCTCATAATATCCCTGAGTACTGCACCACCCAAAGGCATCCGAATCCATTGTTCAGCCAGGCCTTCTGACCCTTGGAACTTCCTTTTCACCTACCCACTCCCCCAGCAAGGCCAAGTGCAACTGGAGTTAAAGATGACCATAGGCCCGAGAGGCGATGCCCACCAAAACAGTCTGGTTCTCAGACATTACTGCCAACCTTTTGTACTCTTCCTCACACCAAGGCTGCCGAGTCTATCTTCTCCCCTTTTCTTACCCATTTCCCAAGAAGGCATAATGATGTCTAGATGTCCCTGCAAAACTTTAAGGGGTTAAGTCTTGCTGGGCACAAATAAAGATGTTTAATTTTGACGAGACCCATTGAAGCAAAGTATTTTCCAAAGATAAAGCACAAGGGAACACCAAGAGCCTATTCTGCATTTTGTTTGTTTGTTTTTCAGGACATGAAAGGACTGTCATCATCCCTATCTTATATACTTTTATTTTTTATTGGTACATCTTTGTAGTACATAGGGATTACATGTGCATAACTCATCTTAATTATTTTCATTCCTTAACCTCCCTCTCCCTTTCACTCCCTCTATCTTTTTGTCCCTTTTTGTCAAAGATTTACCTCCCTATTTCCTATTATCTAGTTAGTTTCACTGTACCGTTGCAATATAACTTGAAATCCAAGGTTGTGATGCCTCCTACTTTGCTCTTGTTATCTTGGATTGCTTTCGCTATTCTAGATCTCTTCTGGTTTCATATGAATTTTAGGGTTTCTTTTTTTTCTTTGAGATAGGGTCTCACTTTGTACTTCAGGTTGACCTTGAATTCACTATGTAGCTCATAGTGAGTGACCTCAGACCCATGACAATCCTCCTGCCTCAGCCTGCTGAGTGCCGAGTTTATAGGCATGCGCCTCCATGCCTGTAATTGCTCATAAATTTTTTTCTACTTCTCAGAGAACTGTTGGCATTTTGATTGGGATTGCATTAAATCTGTATGTCAGTTTTGTTTTGGTTTTGGCTTTTTGAGATAGGGTCTTGCTTTGGAATTCAAGCTGGCCCTGAACTCACTATATAGGCTATTCTGTCCTTGAGCTCACAGTGATCCTCCTGCTCAGCCTTCCAAGTGCTGGGATTACAGGCATACGCCACCATGGCTGATTAAATCTGCATCTTAGTTTTGTACATATGAGCATTTTTCTATTTTGGTTTTGCCTATCAAGGAACAGGGGATATCTTTTCGTTTTCTGATGTCTGTTTTGAAAGTAAAAAGCGAAATATTCAAGCAAGATTATGAAGCAAGGGCTAGAGAACAGCAGCACATCCTTGGACATCAGGGAGTCCTACACCTTCCTCAGGAGGTGCCCCATTCTGGGAAGGGATAGGCCAGGGAGAATGGAGATGGTCTTCAAATAAAGGCATAAAAGAACTGGGACAGGGAATAGCCATATGCCTAGAAACATTCCATTGGGAATAGTACTGAGAAAGAGAACCATACTGACACTTCCTCTATGGTACTAAATAGAGTAAGGACCTGGACGATTACTTCAATGTGCCTTATGTAGAGCACAAAGTCCCCAAGTAGGAATGAAACAGGATGCGGGGGAGGTAGTGATGCATCCCTGTAATTCCAGCACTCTGGGAGACCTAGTCAGAAAGATCCCATATCACAGTCCAGCCAGGACAACTCAGCAAGTTGGTGAAACTTGTCTCACAAAAATGTTTTAGTAAAGAGGTGAGGATGTGTGAAGACCCTAGGTTGAAAGAAAGAAAGACAAGAAAAGAACAATGAGCTCTACTCCTACCTCTGTCCGTTTTCCTGCTGAGCCCTTGGTTCACCCTCTCTTCCTCCTTACCTTTCTCCTTTCTTCCACCCAGTTGCCAGTAAGCACACTAGTTGAATACTTCTTCTCAATCTGCCAGCTTGGAGTTGAGAACGACTGTGGATTCCCTATAGTGAAAAACATGCTACGGATTGTCCCAAGTTCCTGTGCCTGGACAGGTTCCTGCGAGAGGAGAAGAGCTATGAAGTTGCTCGACTTAAAGCGCCTTGCTTTTCTTCCCAGTCACCCTATTGACTTGGTAGTGGTAGATGGCACTCTTCTCACGTCAGAGAATAAATAAGCCCTGAGAGTTCTCTTGTAACCTCCAGGAAGAGAGTAATCTGACCGGGGAGTCTCTCTGTTGACTGTCTCCACGGCGACAGCGGCTGCGTATAAACACTCTCCCTAAGAGCACAGCTGATTCTTCAGGCGTAAACTGACCCCACAAAACTAAAGCAGACCAACAACCACCACTACAAAAGCAGTAGTGAAAGGACCTGGTTTCTGTGTTTTCATCTCAAATGGGCATCACTCTTGCTGCATTTTTACAGTTGAGGTGAGTTGAATTCTTTCTTTGTTGTGAGGGTGGTGGTGAGCTTGAATTCTACTACGACGTAATGAGTGCTGATGTAAAAGGCCCATTCTAAGATTTCTACCCGAGTTCCCTCATGGCAACCTTCTGAAACAGGTGCCATTGTTGTAGCCATGTAGCAGATGAGACCACTGAAGCAGAGATTAAGCTGCTGCCTAACGTCACCCTGCTGCTAGATGAGACATCTGGGATTTCAGTATACTCTTACTCAAAGTTTAAATCACTGGATTCCCTTTGTTTCCACTTTGTCGGTGGTGAAAATGAGTACCTTGTCAGCCCTAACCTCAGATTTCCTAGATAAGCGGTTGCAGTACGACCACCAGTCACATTTCACCGCAAGAGACGCCATGGCTCACTCTTGTTTCAAATATTGTTGTAAAGGACCAGGCTTGAATGGATTCATCTAGCATGGCAGGGGACAGCAGTACTCCTGTTAGCAGTGCCGACATGGTATCAGGGATTTCTTCAATGCCAATCCTTTCACCCCCTAAAACCTCACCAGTGCCTCCTGCTGCCAAACCCCTTGTGATGACTGCCCCATCTGCTGCTGGTGCTCAGCAGTAACAGCCCCATCTGTGTCCTCATGCCTGAGCAGAATTGGGGAAGTCGACGCTTCCTTCTGTGCAGGTTGCACCAGGTGCAGTGGGGTGAAACACTTCAGAAGCACTCGTCTGAACCATCGCTTGTGGACTTATAGCAGCGCAGTCATAAACATCTCACAGGCTGAAAAAACCTGTCAAGCTCACAGGGGTGGATACAAGTTTTCCAAAACTCTAGTTTTAGCTTGAAATCTTTTTTTTTTGTTTGTTTGTTACTGGCAGCAATTTTCCTCAGCTGCTTTTTCTTGAAGTGATAGATTTCATTGAGCTTTAAGAAATCATCTGCAAAGCATTCAATTTTGAATATTCATCGTTTGGTTACCAGTGGTTCTGTCAGGGAAGAGATAAAGCACCAGCTAACTGATCAACCTGACCATGTGGATGGGGACAACCCCCAGGAAGTGAAGATAATTTCAGAGGGTTGACAGATTCAGAAATTATGGACATGACCATTGAAGTAAAACTGATGTCTCATTCTTTAAAAAAGAAAGGCCCAGTTAATTGAGCTCACACCTTAAATAGTTGCATACGCAAGTGAAACGAAAAACAAAAACCAGCCTATGGCAGTGCCCCATTCATCATCGCTTTTTAATTTCAACACAAAAATGTTAGACATTTGCCCAATACTGAATAATACCAAGTCAAATAAAGAAAATCACTTTGGCAAAGGATGCAGCGGCATCGCGTGTGTGGGTGACACAGTAACATATTTGCCCGCAACCACATTGGTGCCTGTGGGTTCCATGCCTTACCCCCAGCCACCCACAGCCTCAGAGAAGGCTCTGCATTATGTTTCTTCTTGGCAGAAAACAGAAAAAGCACCAGCCACCAGATCAACCAAATCATAGATGAGGACAATAACCCAAGGAATGAAGATAAGGCCAGAGGATTGGCCTCTTCAGAAATTAGGAACAGAGGCCCCAGCCCCAAGAAAAGCCCACAGTTATTGTAAACTATAAAAACTCCTTGGGATTTTTCTGAAAGTGACTCCTTCATAGCAGGTTGGAGTTGGAGAAAAAACCCAAAGTAGTGCCCATAATATTGCCAGAAAATACTTAATCAGGTGCCATTTGGGAAAGGGGTTGTTTTTTGTTTTTGTTTTGTGGTACTGGAGATCGAGCTTGAGGCAGTTTCTGTGCCACTGAGCTAAATCCCTGACCTGGGAACGGGTTGATTGTTTAAGACTGAGTCACAGAATAACTATAGAACAACTCCACTTCAGGGCTTCCAGTGTTACCCTGGCACAGTGACTCGGGGAAAGACAGCTGTAAAAGACACACGTGGAGAGGGTGAAGGCTACTCATAGACCCTGCTGAGAAGTTTAAACCCAGGAAAGAAAAAGCACAAGTTTCACTTTTCATAGTGAAAAGCCAGGACCCATGAATGTGGCTTTCACCAGTGGCTGATTTGAAAGTGTTGGCATTAAGTCTAGCAATTTATTTGAACCCCGACCCTGCAGCCTACATCCTGTAGAGACCATTGGTATGATTGCTTTCCCCCTCTACCAAGGTGAGCAAGGACATGCCCTGGCTTTAATGGTTGCTACAGTTTAGTGTGTATGGACAGAGGGGCATCTGACATGCGGGGGGGGGCACCTCACAAACCCGCAGAGCATAGAGCTAGGTGAAAAAAAAAATGACTTGCTGGATTCCAAGACTCTGGATCTTGAAAAGAGACCACGAATTCAAAATTACATAGAAAAAAAAAATTTTTTTTTGAGACAGGGTCTCACTATGTAGTTGAGACTGAACCAGAACTCACTATGTAGCCCAGGCTGGTCTCGAATTCAGAGCGATCCTCCTGCCTCAACCTCCTGAGTGCTGGGATTACAGGTGTGCGCCACAACACCCGGCCTTACATAGAAAATGTTTACTCAGTTTTTGTTTTTTCAGTTCCATTGATTTTTTGGGGATTTTCATCCTTGTTTCCTTTTCATCTTTTAACTATTTTTTTCTTTCCTACTTTTATTTTTCTTTGTTTTGCTATTTTTCTTCTTATTCTGCTTTGTTATCTTCTGTTACTTTTATCTAATACCATCAATTTCCTGTTCTTTTGTAACAGGATCCTCTATGTAAGTTTTCTCTCCTCTTTCTTATTGACCAAAGAGTAATTTCTCAGCTTTCACTTTTTCATTCTCCAGTTCCCCAACTCCTCTATCTTTACTAGTATAACCATTATGCTTTGTTAATCCTTAGATCATTAGCTCTATGCCATTACTGTTGAATATTGTTCTATTGTTTCTGGAGGTATAGACGCTGAATTTAATATTTACTGTATGTTAATAATTGATTTGTCTTAGTGCTTATATTATCTCTTTTCTACGGGTAAGGGAAGTACTTTATTGATTGTCAGAGTTTGTCAATATCCAGTTTGTCTTTCATATCATTAGTGTTGCTGATTTTGTTGTGATTGCCAAGGTGGCATAGTTGTTACTAGTAATTAGTTTTCTCTCTGTTCCATTTCCTGGATTGAATTTGTATCATTAACAATAATGTAGCCCATTCCTGGAGAATCCTGTGCTGGGAAAAATAAACTGCAGCCTCCCCTACCAAATAAAAGAAGGTAGTTAGATCTTGGTATAGGGGCAAATGTCTATATTTACCCATACCCAGAGTACCTCACTGAAAAGAAGCCCCTAATGAAAAAGGTCTTCATACTAGCAATGAACTCTTCCAGTACAATGAAAGTGCAGACCTCAGTGCAAACAACAGCAGCAACAGAAATGGGAGGACGCAAGGCAACAAAATGCCTCCCAAAACTCCAAACTCTGGCAAAGTTGATCCAGGGCATCCAGAGGGAAGAAATCTAAAGCCTCACAGCTGACTTAGTGAAAAAGATAACAGAGGAGATTTTTTTTTTTTAAATGGGATCAATTAGGCGCTCAGTGACCTCAAAGAGAACATAACTAAGCAGATATTGGACCTAATGATACTGAATTGCCCTGTGCTGTGATGCTTAGGTGGATTCATGAAGCATTTGTCCTTTTTTATCTGTTTTCATTGAGCACAAAGTTCACAAGGACCATCCACATTGCGATTTTTATCAAAGCTTTGTTCCTTTTTATGATTGAATAATACTTTGTTGCGTAAATACCATATTATTTTCATCTATTTATTTGTTGGCGAATATTTAGATCGTTTTCACCTTTTGACTTTTGAGAATAGTGCTTCTATGGCCATTGGTATACATGTTATGTCTTTGAGTTTCTGCTCTTAATTCTTTATATTATACATAGGGGTGGAATTGGTACTAAAAAAACTTTTCCATAGCAGCTGCATTATTTTCCTCTGCCACCAGTAGTGCACAAGCTTGGTTTTCTTCACATCTTCACCAATATTTATTATTTTCCATTATTCTTTTATGATAACTAGGTTTTTCTTTGGTACCTTTTTAAAAAATTAATTTATTCTTTATTAATACAAGTCTGTCATGCATAATGATCACATTCATCACGGGGAGCTTGTAACTGTCCATAACATAATGATTTTCCCTGTTCTTCTCCCTTCACTTCAACCATTCTCCCCCTTCACATGTACGACTTGTACTGGTGAATGAACCCAGAGCCTTCACATTGAGCTACATCCTCAGCACCTTTTGAGAGCTGGAGATTTAGCTCAGTGGTTCCACTGCCTGCCTTGCAAGCACAAGGACCCAAGTTTGATCCCCGATACCAACAAAAAAAACAACAAAATCTTTTGAGACAGTCTCACTATGGTGCTTCAAACTTGCTATCCATCTGCCTCAGTGCCCAGAGTGCTCGGATTACAGGTGTGCACCATCAGGCCCAGGTCTTTGGAGTATTTCATTTTAAAGATTTCCTCTTTGTCTTTCTGCAGCTTTATTGTTGTGTCGAGAAAGGAATTGCTTTATGGGGCTGGGGATTTAGCTCAGTGGTTCTGCTGCCTGCCTGGCAAGCCCGAAGTCCAGAGTTCAATCCCTGGTACCCCCCCCAAAATAAAGAAAAAGAAAAAAATTGCTTTGTTTGATTGTCTTTCTATCATTTTAGGAAATTCTCAGCTATTATCTGTTCAAATCTTGTTTCTGCCACCTTTCCTCACCTCTCCTGGGATGCTGATTCCATTTTTATTATACTTTGTCACTGAAAGTATAATTCAGTGTCTCTGTTCTAGCCTTTTTGTGTGCTTGAGTCCAAAGAGTTTCCTCTGACCTAGACCCCACTTCACATGTATTCTCTTTTGGTGTATCTAATGTGAAATTAAAACCTATCTGTGCAAATTTTTATTTCATTTATTGTATTTTTCAGTTACAATATTTTGTTTGATATATGTAGGCATATATATTTCACTTTACACAGATCTAAATCTTAATTCTTTTACATTTTGAATTTTCAGAGTATCATCTTTATTTTCTTGGTTGTTTCATTTACTCATTCATTCATTCGTTCATTT